ACACACACACACACACACACACACACACACACAGAGAGAGAGAGAGAGAGAGAGAGAGAGAGAGAGAGAGAGAGAGAGAGAGAGAGAGAGAATCTTTCTCTATAGTCCTGGCTGTCCTGGAACTTGCTTTGTAGACCAGGCTAGCCTGGAACTCACAAGAGATCCACCTGCCTCTGCCTCCCGAGTGCAAGGATTAAAGACCTGTGCCACCACATCCAGCCTAAAAATAAATAAATCTTTTCTTTGTTTGCTTGTTTGTTTGTTTTTCTTTGAGACAGGGTTTCTCCGTGTAGTTTTGGTGCCTGTCCTGGATCTCGCTCTGTATCCCAGGCTGAGCCTCGAATTCACAAAGATCCACCTGCCTCTGCCTCCCAAGTGCTGGGATTAAAGGCGTGTGCCACCACCACTCGGTCTATAAATAAATCTTTAAAAAAATAAATAATCATCATGAGAGAGGGGAGGCTGAAGGACATAACAAAAGCCACGGACATTTGAAGGGTTCCAAAAGTTTAGTCACATTTCCTGTAACGGGCAAGCTCAAGGCTATCTCTTACGAAGGGCTAAGAGTTGACAGGAACGCAAACAGGAGCAGGGAAGATTCATGCCAGGCAGAGGGCACCGCCCAGGCCAAGGTGCACCCATCTGGCTGGAGGTGACCGGCAGTCTGCCGTCCTGGCTCTGGCCCCTCCTTGTCCTCAGGGAGCCAGCTGAGTGCCTCCTAATGTTTCCATTTGCCCTTGGCTATGGGTCCAGATCTGTTTTTAGCTCCCCTCCCTGGGCTCTCCGGCCCCCCTTCCTGCTGGCGCTCTGGCTTGCTGTGGCAGAATAACGTTCCCGGATTTCCTGAGCTGTTTGTCTGAAGTCAGCTGGATATATTGATCGGAGGCAGTGAGCGCTAAGCTAGGCTGCTGGGACCGCTGCCCCACCCTCCCCCGCCCGCCTCGCCCCTCCCCCTGCCCCCCGCTTCCCCCCCCTCCCCCGTCTGGGAGGGTCTCAGAAGGTCCAGGGGGTGTGGAGTGGGAGGACCCAGAAAGAAAAATAGAGTTTATTTAAGGAATGGACGTGCAGGAGCTGGGCTGAGGAGCGTGTCGCTCACCCCAGCACTCGGGAGGCTGAGGCAGGAAGATGGAGCGTTTAAGCCAGCGCGTACATCCGACTCCAAAAGGAGAGGGAAGAAAGAGGAGAAGGAGGAGGGGGGAGGTGAGGAGGAAGTAGAGGTGGAAGAGGAGAAGGAAACAGAGAAAGGCTGGAGAGATGGCTCTGCAGTTAAGAGCACCGGCTGCTTTTGCAGAGGACCCGGGGTTCAATACCCAGCTCCCGCATGGCGGCTCACAACCGCCTGGAACCTGAACTCTGCAGGTACCACATGTTCATGGTGCGCTGAAGGACATGCGACCAAAACGCTCATCCGCATCAAATATTTTAAAATAAAATAAAATAGAGGAAGTGGGGAGGGCATCCTGAATATTTGGTGCTAAGGATGAGCCCATCACCGTGACCCCACACTGAGGTCACATGGAGGGGGAGGTGAAGCGAGAGCCCAACCACCCACCCACCTCAGACCTCACTCACCACTGTCAGCCGGCCTTTGTCTTGGGGTCTCCTGGGGGATGGGTCTTCAGGGGGCAGTCGGGGAGCAGAGGGAGTCACCTGGAGACAGAGGAGGTGGACATGTGCTTTTACTAGTGGCCAGCAGGAGGCGCTGTGCAGACTACATGCAGCAGGTACAGGGAAAGCCAGGTCAGACTCAGCCGGCCAGACACTGGGAACTTCAGTATCTAGGAATCCTGTTCTAGACCCTCCTCCCTCAAACCCAGAGTCTAGGTCCCTAAGACCAAGATTCCAAGCGTTAGCACCCCTCCATCAGAGCCCGGGATCCAGGCCCAAGCCTTCCTCCATCCACCCCGGGGAACAATGGCTCCTGGTCCTGCCTGACGCTGCTCACCGGCTCCAGCTCCCACTGCGCAGCCTCCCGGTGAGAGCTGTCTCTGGAGTCCTCTGCAGTGGTCCCGACCTCCACTGACCTCTCTTGAGCCTGCCAGATACTCACAGCCTCGTGGCCTTTGATCTGACTGCGGCAGAAGGGACAGGTCTGGCTGTCCGAGTGCTGGGGGAAAAGAAGGAAAAACGTCAATTACCCTCTTGTCTCCGGTGTCCCTTCTGACTTCAAACGAACTCCAGCAAAGTGATGGAGGGTGGGAAGGCTGGAGAGAAGCGAGCTCCGGAATGGGGGGTGGGGAGGCCGATGCTGGCCGCGGGCTGGGCTGGGGCTGGCCTGCTCTGAATCCAGGAGGAACCCGCAGGCCAGGGCCTAGTCCCGCAGCGCTGCCGCTGAGGTCTTGGCTGAGGACTTCGAAGGACTGGCCTCTCATTGCGCCACCGATGATGGAATATTTAGCGCTAGCCTTTAGAGGCTGAGGGCAAGGTCCAGTAAGGGGACGACGCTGTTGGCTCTACATAGCCTGTCGCAAGGGAGAAAGAAGTCCTTTCTAAAGCTCCTTTTGTAGCTGCTCAGGGAGAAATGGAGGCTGGGACTCGGGGTGAGGTGGGTACAGGGGCATCAACGTAGATAGTCAGGGTCCCGAGTGGCCCGACCAGACCTCCGTTCTATCGGGAACCTTGTTTCCTCGTGTGTTCAATGAGGCCCCCGGGAGATCCAGGCGGGGCTCCTAGTGGGAGGGATGGGGACCGAGAGAGGGTAGTGGCACCCCCACCTGCCAGGCAGCCAGGCAGTGGCTGCAGAGAAGGTGCCCACAAGGCTCAATCCTCACGTCCTTGTTCCTCTCGGTGCAGATCTTGCACAGCTCGAAGGTGGAGTTCATGGCCTGGTAGAGCTGCAGTTGCTCCTGGGAGGTAAATGGGTGGGGGTGGGGTGGGGTGGGGTGGGCGGGAGGAAGGTCCCGGGTATCTGTGCCAGCCTGAAGACTGAACCGAGTCCAAGGCTGCGCTGGGGATGGGGCATGGTCGGTGGAGTGTTTGCTTGACCGTGTCCCATCCCCCGCTCCAGTGCTGGGGTGGGATGCAGGCAGGAGGCCCAGAAGTTCAAGGTCACCTTCGGTTACATAGGAACCTTGAGGCCAGCCTGGGCTTCATGAAACCTTGTCTCCCCACCAAATCAAACCAAACCAAATCAAACCACGAAATAAAATTCCTCACAGAGAACCACCAATCAGGTTGAAGGCCAGTGCACCTAAGGCCCTCACAGGCATAATCACCTTTACCTGGCCACAAGATCTTATTACTAAGTAGCCCGGAGGCAGGCTTGAGCCTACCCAGCAGTGGAATTAGAGCCACTTGTCACCACAGGCCAAGCACGTTTTCAATCCTGGACGAGAGACTCATTTTGTGGACTTGTCTTCACTTGGGATTACTAGCTTTTTTTTTTTTTTTGTGATTTTGCCACAAATAATTAGTCTCAGGCTGTTTGTTTTTTTTTTTTTTTTTTTGGTATTTATTTTTTAAAGATTCTTTTGTTTTTATTCTATGTGTCCGTGTGAATGACTGCATGTATGCCTGGGCATCCCTTGTGTGCCCTGGGATGGCAGGGGAGGGTGTTGAATCCCGTGGACTGGAGTTCTAGGTAAAGCTGCCACGTGGGTGCTGGGAACCGAACCTGGGTCCAATGCAAGAACAGCAAGTGTTCTTAGTCACCGAGCCGCCCCTCCTGCCCCAGAATGACGAGATTTAGCAAATACAGCACGACCCATTCCACTTGAATTTCAGATAAGCAGCAAATGGAGACTGAAGTGGAAGGGCTGGAGACCACTGAGCAGACCATGCTGCTCTTGTGGAGGACCAGAGTTAGGTTCCCCAGTACACCACTGGGAAGCTCACAGTCACCTGTAATGCCACCTTCTGTGGACACTACACACAGATGTTGCGCATAGGTACAGGCAAACACTCATACACATAAAATAATTTTTTAAAAATAATAAAAATAAATATTTAAAATAATATGAAGAATAGGCATCTCAAATATAGGATGGGATGTACTTAGGCTAAAAAAAAATTCCCTGCTATCAAAGGCCTGTAATTCCTCCAGAGGCTGAGGCAGGAGGACTGGGATCCCCAGGCTAGCCTCAGCTACGTAGAAAGATCTTGTACCAAAAATCCAAGGGCCAGACATGATGGTGGACACCTTTAATTCCAGCATTTAGGAGGCAGAGGTAGATGGATTTTGAGAGTTTGAAGCCAGCCTGGTGGACCACTAAATAACTCAATAAATAAGTTCCAGGACAGCCAGTCTACATAGAGAGACCTTGTCTCAAAGTAATACTAACAACCACCGTGTGTGTGTGTGTGTGTGTGTGTGTGTGTGTGTGTGTGTGTGAGAACCAAGGGCTGAATGTTGGTAGTGCTCTGTGGACATGCATGGCATTAGGCATGTGGAAGTCAGAGGGCGAGCAGCAGGACTGTTCTTGCCTTCAACCATGTGGATCCTGGGAACTGAACTCAGGTCATCAGGCTTGGCTGCAGCGCCTTTGGCTAGTACTCCTGTGAATACCCCACCCTTTGCAGTAGAGTCAATTAAGTTATTGGCAGGTGGACCTCTGTGAGTTCGAGGCCAGCCTGGTCTACAGAGCAGTTCCAGGACAGCCAGGGCTACACAGAGAAACCTTGTCTCAAACAAACAAAAAAGTATGGGGGTGTGGCTCAGTGGTAGAGCCCCTGCTGAGAATCCCCCAGTGAGGGGCTGGGGTGTGGCTCAGTGGTAGAGCCCCTGCCTAGAATCCCCCAGTGAGGGGCTGGGGTGTGGCTCAGTGGTAGAGCCCCTGCCTAGAATCCCCCAGTGAGGGGCTGGGGGTGTGGCTCAGTGGTAGAGGCCCTGCCTAGCATGCACAAGTTCCTGGGTTCCATCCTAAAAACTAAAAGAAAATATCTTGGCTCTTCTCCTGCTCCTGGGTGTCTGTTCAGACTCAGAGCTGATAAACACTCAACTGCATCAGCTGTTTTGATGATCTCAGAGGCTCTTTTCTTTATTTCATATCCAATAAAACCCTTGAGAAGGAGACTGCAGAGGCTATAGTTCCCAGTGGAAGAACTCAGAGAGCCTCAGAGAAGCCAGGATGGTCTCCAGGTCACATAGCCCTAAGCCGACACTACATTTCAAGGTCCCTGAGCTAGGGCACGTTGGGGCTAGGATCAGGGAGTGGGCAGTAGGTGTAGATATGAGACTCACCTCGGACACTTCAATGCGCTGGTGGGGTTCTGTCTGGCACAGCTCAGTCAGGTCTGGGTTGTGGCTCTTTCCATCAGGGTAGAGGTAGCTGAGAGAAGAACAGACTTGGGCTCTGAGTAGCTGGACTCACAGGACCAGCCTGCCTCACCTCTCTGGTGTGAGTGTGTGTGTGTGTGTGTGTGTGTGTGTGTGTGTGTGTGTTAGGACCTGCCACAAGCCCACAATGGGACTCCCCAGAGTAAGTACGCTCCAGTCCCTGGGACAGAACCATCCACTTGACCATCTCAGGTAAGCCACAATGAACCTCGGCCTCCAGCCTGAGAACCAAGAAAGGAATCTAAACCTCTGTCCTTCAAGGATCCCTCGGCTCTTGAGAGCCAGTCCTGGAAGGTTTTTATTGTGATTATTACTGCTATTTTGCTATGCTGAACCTAGCCTGGAGTATGTTAAGCAAGTGCTTTTCCACCAAGCCACGCCCCCAGCCCCTCACTGGGGGATTCTAGGCAGGGGCTCTACCACTGAGCCACACCCCCAGCCCCTCACTGGGGGATTCTAGACAGGGCTCTACCACTGAGCCACACCCCAGCTCCTCACTGGGGGATTCTAGGCAGGGGCTCTACCACTGAGCCACACCCCCAGCCCCTCACTGGGGGATTCTAGGCAGGGGCTCTACTACTGAGCCACACCCCAGCCCCTCACTGGGGGATTCTAGGCAAGTGCTCACCAGTGAGCCACACCCACAGCATGACCTATACATTTTTTTCTTTTTCTTGTTGAAACTAGGTCTCACTATATAGCTTAGAAGACAGATCTCAGGATCCTCCTGCACCTTGAATACTTTCACACACACACACACACACACACACACACACACACACACACACACACGCACACCATCCCCGCTAATGACCAATACATTTTCAAAACAAAGAACAAAAGACCAAAAGAAATCTAATAGAATAAATAATGTAACAAAAGGATTGTGACCAGTCATGAAGGTGACGTGAGTCTGCCTGCTTCCTGAGAGTAACTGCTCTCTGTGTTATGATTCAAGGCCCTTTCAATCTTATAGAACAGAACCCCAGTGAACAATGGGAAGCAGCATGTCAGTTGTCTGTCTGTCCACCTGTCTCTACCCACCTGTCTCTCACTCATCCCCACCTCTATCTCACACTAACCATTCTGCTCCCTGCCCAGCTAGGTCACGTCCCCAGCTGTGCAAATCACATAAGATCTGGGTGAGACAGAACAGGGGAGAGCAGCCCGCCCCTCCCCTCCCCACCCCACCCCACAGCGGGCAACTTCCCGCAGGAAACCGGAGGCAGCCGAGGTTACAGGTGGAAAACCACCAGTCTGGCTGCTTCCCCGCCCCTGCCCTGCCAATCTAGATCCTAGGGCAGGATAAGGCCTCCCGAAGCACAGGCCCTGGAGCCCGCCAGTCCTAGGAAGGAATCCTGTGCTGTGTGACCTGCTGTGTGGAGGCGGACATTCCCCTGCCTCGAGATCCCTGCCGCCCCCTGCTGGGCACCTTTGGCATTGCAGCTTGGTGTGTCTGCCCACCTTACACGCCCCCACCCCCACCCCCAGCCATGATTTGCGCATAATCTGGCTTTTGCTGATACTCTTTTCCTTTCCTGTTGGGGACTCACATGCCGTCCTTTTGTCCTTTCAGGAGCACCTGGAACAGGGGTTTGTTGAGAGGAATGGTCTGTAGGATGCTTCCATCGGAACTCACGTACCCAATAGCCCACTGCCCCAGGCGGGTGCAGCTGGGCCTGAAGATGTAGCTGTGGGAAGAGAGGCGGGATGCAGAGAGAGAGTGGCCGCTGCTGTCCCTGCGGGGAACACCCTGTGGTCTGCCCTGCCCGGGATCCAGGTATCTCAGTCCTCGTCCTCACCTTCTCTCACTATAAGGAAGGGGGTCTTTGCTCCCCATTCACAACTATGGGCTGGAAGGGTGTGTGGCTATAGCTTTAGCCATTGCCCACCATAGGGACGGGTCACTTCTGAGAAGGAGGCTGATACAGGAAGAAACAAGGCAAGGGACACCCAGACACTGACCCCCGATAAAGCGCTTGAAGGCTTGTCTCCATCCGTGCCTGAACCCCGCTCTGGTTCTTTCTTTCAGTTTTATACCTTCCCATCTCTCCCCACCTCTTTGCAGCAGAGTCAAGGCTAGCCTGGGCTACCAGAGACCTTGCCTAGGGACCCATCTAGACAAGGATGTTACCACTGAGCAGCACATCTGGCAGGACACAGGGACAGAAGTGCTGACAGAGATAGAGACGGACAGACTGAGAAGGTCCCTCCCCTTTCTCTTCCTTCCTCTCTCTCCCCCAGCTCGAAGTGGATGGGGAGCTCTGGAAAGAAGCTGATATTCTACCCTGGCTTTCCAGAGCCCTGCAGAGACCGATAAACCAGACATTTCCTCAACCTGTGGGTGCTCAGCTCCTCATCCTTAGCCCATGGAGGAGATCCAACTACTCCAAGCTCCTGCCTTGAAAGGACGTGAGGTCTCCGATGTCAAGTTTCCCAGTCTCTAAACTGGGAGGGCTCACGTGCGAAATATTTAAGAGGTGGACAGGCTGAGCGTTCTGCCCACCTGTAATCCCAGCATTCAGGAAATTGAGGCGAGAGGCTCCTAAGTTCAAAGTGAGCCTGGGCGATAGAGAGACCCTGTCTTAAAGGAAAAGAAAGGAAAAGAAAAGAAAACAAACCCTAGAAAAATGCTGAGTGTAGGGATAACCTCTGTAACCCCAGCATTTGCAAGGGAAAGGAAGGATGATCAGGATTTCAAGGGTCATCCTTGGCTACATGGCAAGTTTGAGGCTAGCCTGGGCTATATGAAGCAAGCCCTCTTACCGTGGAACAATCTTTTTGCACACTATGAATATGTACTACTCTCATTGGCTGATAAAGAGCTGACTGACCTATAGCTGGCCAGGAGAAGGTTAGGCAGGAAAACCACACTAAGAGGATGCTGGGAAGAAGGAGGGCGGAGTCACAGGAGTCAGAGCAGTCGCCAGCCAGACGCAGAGGGAGTAAGAGATGAACATGCCATGCTAATAAAGGTACTGCCACATGGCAAAGGGTAGATAAGAAATATGGGTTAATTTAAAATGTAAGAGCTAGTTAGTAATAAACCTGTGCTATTAGCTGAGCATTTATAATTTTTTTTTTTTTTGAGACAGGGTTTCTCTGTGTAGCTTTGTGCCTTTCCTGGAACTCGCTTTGGAGACCAGGCTGGCCTTGAACTCACAGCGATCCACCTGACTCTGCCTCCCGAGTGCTGGGATTAAAGGCGTGCGCCACCACTGCCTGGCTGCATTTATAATTATATTTATTTAATTTATATTATATAAATTTATATTATATTAAGACTCTGAGTGGTTTTTTGGGAGTGGGTGGTCAGGACAGTAAAACCCCATCTATACCCTATCTCAAAACAAAACCATTTAATGGATTTACTGCATAGCTTCCAACTTGTCAGAAATGGGCTGTATCTCAGGTAGGGCCTTCAGGACGCCATGGTGACCAGGTATTGTTGCTTTAGTTACTGGGCCATGGGATGACCCTGGAGGCCCTGGAAAAGGAGGCTGGGCATCAAAACTCAGGTTTTTGTTCTTTTTTTTTTTTTTTTTTTGATCCTGTTTTGAGATAGAGTTTCTCTGTGGACCCCTGGCTGTCCTAGAACTTGCTCTGTAGAGCAGGCTAGCCTAGAATTCACAGAGATCCTCCTGCTTCTGCCTCCCAAGTGCTGGAATTACAGGAGAACATCACAGGTCTCCAGCTGCAGCATTCCCGACCTCTGGGTTCCCAGGAACCTCAATTCTTGGTCTCTCAGAACCTCAGGCATTCTCCCACACACTAACCAGGACTAGACCACACCCCACCACCCCACCCCCGCCCCGCCCGACCCACAGAGCCCAGCTTTGCTCACCTGCCCGGTTTGTCCCTGCAGGCCTGCAGGCGCGTTTGGACCTCATCGTAGGTCAAGAAGGCCATGTAGCCAGGGTGGTTGACAGCCAGGAGTTGCCAGTTCCTGAGCAGGGTGGGCCACGGCTGGGAGGGGCAGAGATGGTCACCAAGAGACCAGGGAAGTAGCTTATGACCTAGGGTCTTCAGGGTCCAAGAATCCACCACCTTGCCCAGGACTCAGTGGTCCAAACCCAGCCCTTCCCCTTTAGATCCGGTGTACCCAGTCCCCATCTCCTCCCTCCGACCCAGCCTTGACCTTCTCTGACCTGGAAGAGCCTGGTGAAGATGTCAAACTCAAAGACAGACACGTGGCCGCTACAGGTGAGGTCCAAGGTGGAACGCAAGGCCTGCATGATGGGACCTGGTTCCACAGGGTGGCAGCTACACAGGAGGCACTGGAACTCTGCCCAGGGAAGCACGCACCTGGATGGGACGGGGTGGGGTTGCAGCTGCGGACGGAGGGGGCCTATAACAGGAAGCTACTGCCCCCCTCAACACACACACTCCGGGGCCTAGGGTAGGGCGATCTAGGGACTCGCAGCCCATCTTCCCCTGGCGAAGGCTCACTCACCGGACCCCACAGCGCTCCCTCCAGAAGGTGTGGGCCGAGCCCTTGGTGAGCTGGTACAGGTGTCCACAGTACTTTCCTCCAGGGAAGAGTGCGCTCAGCTCGGCGTGCATGTGACTGAAGATGAGGGCCAGCTTGGCCAGCTGCCGCCTGCAGGAAAAAGCTGTGAGCATCACGCTGGATGCAGGGAGAGTCGCCAGAGGCGCAAGCCCCCCAGATTGCCTCTAATCAATCAATGCACCAAAGGAGCCCATCTCAGTCCTGAGGCCTCGCCTCTCTGAGCCTCAGTTTCCCCATCTATGAAGAAAGTGTGGAAGCTAATATCCAAATTAGCCTCCAGCCAACACAGCCCAGGCCCAAAGCCTGCTGTGGCCGGAGAAGCCTCGCCGGCTGAGATGGTGGGGACTAATCGTCTGCAGTCTGCGTTCAGCGCATGCCCAGAACTGTCCTCCACACCAGCCGGTGCGCTGACCACCCTGAGCTCTAGGTCAGGATACAGAACGCAGTAATTTTGTTTGTTTTTTGACACTTAATAGCTATGAAAGTATTGAAAAATCATTAAACAATGTTTTTCCAAGTCTTCCACCTGTGAAGTGGAAATAAACGGGTGAGTATAGCTTCTGAATCACTAGGGATCAACAAGGGGCTTGGCCATGCTTTATGAGCACAGAGAGAGCACAGCTCGGGGCACGGTTCAGATGAAGAGCACTTGCTTAAAATCCCCCAGTGAGGGGCTGGGGTGTGGCTCAGTGGTAGAGCATCTGCCTAGAATCCCCCAGTGAGGGGCTGGGGGCGTGGCTCAGTGGTTCAGCCTCTGCTTACCATGCTCCATGCCCAGCATCTCAAAACCAAACAAAACCTGCCTATCATATTGAGTTAACACTCAGTGCATGCTGATTATATTATATTTCTCATTTATATTAATAGCTTCCTTGGCCAGGTCTGCAGGGCTCTTGGCAGTTTCTTAGCAACCTCGCTTCCCAGAACGTAGAGCTGTGTAGCCCAGTGAGGATGTCACCCGCCACTCAGGGTGGTTCAGACGGGAAGGCACGTTTTTTTTGTTTTTGTTTTTGTTTTTTTCCTTTTTTGAGACAGGGTCTAAATGTAGTCCCAGCTGGCTTAGAACTCACTCTGTAGACCAGACTGACCTTGAACTCACAGCGATCCACCTGCCTCTGCCTCCTGAGTACTGGAGTCAAAGGTCTCTGCTACCACAATCAGCCCAGAGTAGAGAACTGGTTCTTTTTTTTTTTTAAGATTTATTTTTATTTTTAATTGTGTGTGTGTGTGTGTGTGTGTGCTCATGAGGTGGATTTCTGAGGAGACCAGAAGGTGTCGGATTCCTTGGAGCTGGAGTTACAGGTGGCTGTGAGCCACTAATCCTGGGTGCTGTAAGCCTAGATCCTCTGCTACGGGAGGAGGCGGCCCTCTTAACCTCTCAGCCAGCGGTTCTCAACCTCCCTGATGCTGTGACCCTTTAATACAGGTCCTCATGCGGTGGTGACCCCAACCATAAAATTATTTCCACTGCTACTTCATAACGGTAATTTCGCTACAGTTACGGATCAGAATGTAAATCTCTGTGTTTTCTGATGGTCTTAGGTGGCCCCTGTGAAAGGGCGGGTCAACTCTCGGGGTTGCGACCCACAGGTTGAGAACCACTGTCCTAAGTCCCCTCTCCAGCAGGTGCTTGGAGTTTACACCAGACTGCAACAAGGTAGGCCAAAAGAGAGCAACAAAATTTGTAACAGTTTTGTTCAGCACACTGGCCAGCTGTCTTCTGACCCCAGCCAGTGTGCGCACACACAGTGAGAAATAAATCGATGCAATAAAAAAGAAATTTGCATTTTTCACGCAGTATATATAAACATATTTTGAGTAGTATTTCTTTCATCAGTTATAATTGATGGATAATGGGAATTTAAACAATATGGACAGGCAGGTGATTTATTTCATTTCCTCATGAACTGAGGCCATACCATAAGCCAGGGAAGCCACCCCTAGGGTTAGCGAGCCAGGCCTGAACCACCGATTTAGACCTTGCTCTGAGGTCAGTGCACTTGTTCCTCGGGAGAGAGAGCAGGCAAGTCCAAGGTCCTTAGCCTCGGCTTCAGGTACGGAAGTCCGCGATGGCACCCACGCAGGTCCGGGGCCGGCCCGGAGCTCGGGCACCAGAGGCGAGTCCACTCACCCCCTCAACGGGGAGTTTCTGGGATCCCTACATTCACAAGGCCTGTGTGTATCTTAGGCCCCCAGGAGAGGCACGCCTGGACCCCAGGTGCAAGGTGATCCAGGAAAGGAAGAAAGGGAGACTGATGGCAGGGTACTCAAGGGTCTGAGGGAGGAGGGCTGCGCCTGGACCCCTGGATCTGAGGAAAGAGGTGTCCGGTGGCCCGATCCGGAAATCTCTAGTTTATGACTTGTCTCCAAGGCAGGTAGGTCGGTGCTCACCTGAATCTGGAGCCCTCCCGGAAAACCTCCTCGTTCGCATCCTTTTTGCCTCGGGATGGCAGCAGCTCGGCCACCTTCCTGCCTTTGACTTCCAGATTGGCCAGGTAGATGGCCAGAAAGTCCCCAGCGCCACCGGGACCCTCGGAGTCTCCCCCGGCCTCGCGCCGGGCTCTTGCCACCTCCCGAAGTAGCTGAGCGGTGCGGGGCAGCAGGTTCCGCAGCGACGGGGGCCCCATAACCAGCCTGGGGTCCCGGCATTGCTCCTCCAGACGCTGTAGCAACTTCACCGCCCGGCCGAGCGCGCGCGCCTCTCCCCAATGCCACCCCAGCCAAGGGTCTCGCGGGGCTGCCATCCCAGCCAAGGCTGGCCTGGGGCCGAGGGGTGAGGCGGGGAAGGCTACAGGTTGGGGCGGGACCAGGAGGGAGCAAGGGGCGGGCTCTGGAAAACGGGAGGGGACTTCAGGAGGCTACTGCCCTAAAGGGGCCCGGACTGCAGAGTCTGAGGAGGAGGCTGAGCCTGGACCCCCAGTCTGAGGGAGGAGGGCTGGGCCTGGATCCCCGGGTCTGAGGGAGGAGGGCTGGGCCTGGACCCTGGGTCTGAGGGAGGAGGGCCGGGCCTGGGCCCCCGGGTCTGAGGGAGGAGGGCCGAGCCTGGACCCCCGGGTCTGAGGGAGGAGGGCTGAGCCTGGACCCCTGGTCTGAGGGAGGAGGGTTGAGCCTGCACCCTCGGATCTGAGGGAGGAGGGCTGGAGCCTGGGTTCCTTGGTGTGTAGAAAGAGGTGGCGGGCAAAGAAGGAGGGTATTGGGAGCTTGGCTCTCCACACCCTGCAGGGAGGGGTCTGGGACACAGCACCCCGTCCTGCAATCATGGCTGAAGGTTTCAGTCTTTGCTCATAGCGGCGTGGTATCAAAGTTCAGACAGCTGAGTCTCCTAAGAACAGAAAGTCAAGTAGCTACTCTGTGTCCCAAAGAGAAAGTACTGGAACGGCTGGAGCTCTGGTCCCACGGCAGCTAAGGGGAATTAGATCGCAGTTTAAGTACCCAGATTTTCAAAAGGGGTGAAAGAGGTGTGGCGGAAGGTGAAGCTCAGGAATGCACGGGGCAGGGAGTGGCCGCAGGACAGGTTTGCACCCCAACCTGTCAGACCTGTAGGGTCCACCCTGACTGTACTCCAGGCAGCCGCTAGGGGCCCCGTGGATATGGTTCTCTCCGCCCCAGGGCACCCAGGGCACCCAGCTAGCCAGCCACGTCCAAGGCAGGCTGGGGTGCTGATGCCTCTCCGGCCTGCATTCTCCTCCTCCCACTTCTCCCCCTCCCCCTCCTCCCCTTCCCCTTCCTCCTCTTCCTCTTCTCCTCCTTCTAGCTAGGGTCTTCCTAAGCAGCTTAAGTTGGACTTGAACTCACTGAGTAGCCCAGGCTGGCCTCAAAGTTGCCTCTCTCCTCCTACCTCTGCCTCCAGAGTGCTGGGATTAGATGGTAAGACCCTGTCTCAGCAAAAGACCTGGGTTGGGACTGGAGAGATTGCTCAGTGGTTAAGAACACTCACCGTGTGTTCAAAGGACCAGGGTTCAGTTCCCAACACACTCACCACCACTCAACAATAACTCCATATCCAGGGGATCTGATGCCTCTGGCCTCTGAGGGCACCCTGTACACACACACACACACACACACACACACACACACACACACACACACACGTATATTTTGTTTTGTTTTGGGCTTTTTTTGTTTTTTGAGATAGAGTGTCTCTGTGTATCACTGGTTGTCCTAGAACTCACTCTGTAGACCAGGCTGGCCTCAAACTCACAGAGATCCATCTGCCTCTGCCTTCTGAGTGCTGGGATTAAAGGTATGTGCCACCTTGGAGGATCTGATGTTGGTGTGGGCCCGGGGTTCTGTTTGTGTCTTTCCTCAGGACAGTGAGGTTCCTCTTTGGATTCCTGAGGGCTATGTGCGCCCTGTGGCTGCTGCTGAAGCCCAACATGGCAGAGACCTATTGGGCCTTCATGAAAAACTCTCCCCTTCTGATGCCAACAGGGATTGAGAGCCCAATATGGCCAGCTTTGGCAAGCATTAACATAAGCCTAGGAACTGTAGTCATGTGGTTGGATTCTCCAGAAGGTAATGTATGGTAACTGCTCTTTCAAGCATGTTTGAGAACGTGTCACCCAGACACCTTGGAGATTAAGGATAACCCTGAAGGTCACTGACCTCCTTTGTTAACAGTCAAATGCCAGCTAAGCCTTTTTATTTTCAAAATCCTCTTCAAGCTGGTGTAGCACCTACTTTTCAGGAGTGGCTCTGTGCAACATTTATTGGCCTCCTGAAATTCCTTGTCTGTGTATCCTGCATAATGGGCGTTAACAGCTTAGATGCAAGATTGTAAAACATCGATAGCGAACTTCTGCCCTCCTGGGTTCTCCCACTGTGCTGTAAGCCTGTATGTAAGACCTCCTCTCTCCTTCAATAAATGGCACTTGGCATTAAAAAAAAAAAAAGGTATGTGCTACCACTGCCCAGCCTTTCTTTTTTTTTTTTTTTTTTTTTTAGACAGGATCTCATCATATAATCCTGGCTATCCTGGAACTCCCCATGTAGACCAGATGGTCTCAAACTCACAGAGATCTGCCTGCTTATGCCTCCCAAGAGCTGGGTGAGAGCATCACCATGCCTGGCATAATTTAAAAATAATAAAAAGCCAGGCGGCAGCGGTGGCGGCGCACGCCTTTACGACCAGCGCTCAGGAGGCAGAGCCAGGCAAATCTCTGTGAGTTTGAGGCCAGCCTGGGCTACAGAGCAAGATCCAGGAGAGGCACTAAAACACACAGAGAAACCCTGTCTTGAAAAACAGACAAACAAACAAATTTAAAAATAATAAAAAAATAATTTATGAGCTGGGTTGACGAGATGTCTCATGAGGTAAGGGTGCTTGCCACCAAGACCGACTGTATTGGATCCCAAGGACCTACATGATGGATGGAGAGAACTGACTTTTGCAAGTTGTCCTCTGGTGTATACATCGGCGCGCGCGCACGCGCGCGCGCATACACACACACACACACACTAAATAAATAAATGTATTTATTTATATATGATCTCACAGCACAGCCCTCACCCCAACTCTATGTCCATGCCTTAATTACATTTCATTAATGGAAAAAAATCATGTCTGCAATCCACCAAATTGATTTCACAACCGGTTAATGAATCCTATTAGGCAGCAGGGAAAATTCCAAGAGATGTTAATGGAAGTCTTGTAGGAAATATGGAAAGAAGGCAAGAGACCCGCAGCAGGAGAGGGGACACAGGACCTGTGGCCTTCTCTCACCCTGAATATTCAAGAGACTGTGAAGATGATGGGCCCTCACAGACGCCAATAACACAAGGTATAAACATTCAAAGTCCAAGGCTAGCCTGGGCTACTGAACGAGTTCAAGGGCAGCCTGGACAACTTGGCAAGACCCTGTCTCAAAAGAAAAAGCAAAAAGTTGGCTGGGGGCTGCAGAGATGGCACAATAGGTAAGAGCACTGAGTGCTCTTCCAAAGGACCAGGGTTCGATTCCCAGCACCCACATGTCAGCTCACAACTGTAACTCCAGTTCCAGGGAATGCCCTCTTCTGACCTCTGTGAGCACTGCACTCACATCATGCAGTGCAGACACATATGCTTCTACACTTAAAAAAATTTTTAACAAGCATCCTGGGTCTGTTATTCCGAGGTAGAGTTTGCCTAGCTTGCCTGAGGCCTAGGCCTCTGCCTTTAGTGCTGCTTCTTGGTGTATAAGAAGGCACTGGAGACCAAGTTCTCTCACCTCCAACCCCATTCCCTGGAATATGCGCATGAGACAGGATGTGTAAATAGGGGCTCTGAGAAGTGTCCAGGTGAAGACAGGTTAGGGTGGTCGTAGAATCTACCGAGATGATGTCTATAGGATGAAATGTGTGTATGTTGGGGAGCTGAACAGACAACCCAGCAGTTTAGAGCCTCCTACGGAGGAGCTGGAGAGATGGCTGAGCAGGTAAGAGCACTGGCTGTTCTTGCACAGGACCCAGGTTCAGTTCCCAGCAGCCACAGGGCAGCTCACACCATCTGTAACTCCAGCTCCAGGGAATTCAATGCCCTCTTCTGGCCTCCTTGGGCACTGTACACACATGGTACACAGCCATACATGCAGACACACACAAAAACAAAACAAAACAAAACAAAAAACCCGTATACATAGATTAAAAATAAATAAATCTTAGGAAAACAAAAGAGAATGAGAGCTAGGCGGTGGTGGCACATGCCTTTAATCCCAGCACCTAGGAGGCAGAGACAGGTGGATCTCTGTGAGTTTGAGGCCAGCCTGGGCTACAGAGTGAGTTCTAAGAAAGGAGCAAAGCTACACAGAGAAACCCTGTCTCAAAAAAACCAATAAACAAACAAACAAACAAATAAATAAATAATAAAAATAGAAAAAGAAAAAGAAAAGAAAAAAAGAATGTTTACTGTTCTCCCATAGGACCTGAGTTTGATTCCCAGCACCCATATCAGGCATCAGGTGACTCACAATGCCTGTAACTTCAGTTCCAGGAGGATCTGATCCCTCTAGTCTCTGAAGGCACTCGTGAGCATACACACACACACACACACACACACACACACACACACACACACACTTAGCAGTACATGACCAAGGTAACTAACTCTTCTGTTTTTTTAAAGATTTATTTATGTATTTTTATGTATATAAGTGCTCTATCTTCGTGTATGCCTTTATGCCAGAAGAGGACATCAGATCCCACTACAGATGGTTGTGAGTCACCGTGTGGTTGCTGGGAATTGAACTCAGGACCTCTGGAAGAGCAGCCAGTGCTCTCAACCACTAAGCCATCTCTCTAGCACCCCCCCCCCACCCCCAAGGCAACTCTTATAAAAGAAAGCATTTAATTGGGGGCTTGTTTACAGTTTCAGAGGATTAGTCCATTATCATCATGGCGGGAAGCAGATAGTCACAGTGCTGGAGTGAGAGCTGGAAGCTGAGAGCTTCCCATCCTGATCCACAGGCAGCAGGCAGAGAGGCACTGGGCCTGGCCTGGGCTTTTGAAACCTCAAAGCCCCACCCCCATGACACACCTCCTCCAAGGACACACCTTCTTTAACAAATTCCCAGTCCTTCCCAAACAATTCATCAAGTGGAGAGCAAGCATTCAAACACATTTGCCTACGGGGGCCATTTTCATGCAAACCACCACAATAATAGCCATAATAAACAACGAGAAAGAAAAAAGTTGGAGTCTTGAGATGGCCCAGTGGGTAAAGGTGCTTGCTACTCTGCCTGACGACCTGAGCTGAAACTCCAGAACCACGTGGAAGAAGGCGAGAATCGATTCCCACAGGGTGTCC